GAGGAGCAAGCATATCGACGTGCGGTTCCACTTCATCCGCGAGCTCTTCAAGGCGGACAAGATCACCGCAGATTATGTCTTGGCAGAAGAGCAGCACGCCGATATACTGACCAAGGTCCTTGGTAGGGGCAAGTTGGAGTACCACCGGAAGGCTCTGATGAACCTGCCGATGTAGGGTTCTGGTCTCGTTTTCGTGGCGTTTGTTTTGTTTTGTTCTAGCACTGGGCGCGTCTCGGACCATGGTATGTCACGCAGGAAGCGTTGGGCAGGGGCGTCACCCGCGGCGGGAGCTTAGGGTTTTTGACCAATTGCTTCGGGTGTGTAATCAGCGTGGCCTGTCCAATCTGTCCTGCCTTGGTCCTGCCCTGATAGTGCGGCCGTTGGAATCCTTCGTGATAGCGACGGTTTCTTTTATGTTTTGAGTTTGTAGGCGAGGGTTTTTGATCCGGATGGCCGAGTTTTTCCCTTGCACCCGTTGTTGTATGAGTAACTTAAGTAGATCTGGAGTATCCATGCCCCACTGATGGTTTGTCAATAGCTTGACGAACCGGGGAGGGTGTTCGTGTGTCTGGATACGAGCATGGTAGATCTGCTAGCAGCACGGGGGGGTACGTAGACAGGAGCATGCGTATGCCTGAAAAAGGCTACTATGTGTGGGCCCCCTTCCCCGAATTCGGGAGGGCCACTTCTTCCCTTCCTTTCCTTGCTCCCGCGGGTGCCTACTCAGAGAGAGTTAAAGCGTGTCTTCTCCCAAGTACGGACATACCAACACCATCAGCCCAATACATTGTGAATGCATCTTCTCGCCAATGGAACCAGCCTCTTGCTGTAGGCCATCCCGACTTAGCTCCTCCACGTACTGGTCGTACTTGGCTTTCCTTGCCAGCCTCTTGCTTGCAGACCATCCCGATTCAGCTCCTGGATGTACTGCTCATATTGAGCTTAAATGGCCTCGGGAGGAGCCTCCGGGAGTGGCCTCGGGGCCGCTCCCGAGGCTATTCAAGCTCAATACGAGCAGTACGTCCAGGGGTTGAGTCGGGATGGCCTGCACCAAGAGGCTGGTTCGGTTGGAGATGCCAGTACCGCTTCAACCGACGGAGACACAAGGGACGGCAGCGTCGCCCGCTACACCGGCCCCGCCGGTGAACCCAGGTATGATTCCATTACAGGCGTGCGGTTCACTTGGCATACGTGTTACTGTTGTGACCTGTCTCGCATGTTGCCATGGATCATATTGACCTGTATGTTATGCCCCCTCGGTCCGATCTGAGTTGGCATAATCTACAGCTTCTTATGTTGTGTCAAGCCATCTGTGTATGTTATGTCCTTGGTCTCAGCACATTGCGATACCATATCACGCAAACTGCGCCAAGAGTTCCCCATGTGGTTTGTCAATAACACCGCCAAGGCGAGAATGTATCACTTTCGATCACCCTTGGACACAATTCGTCCACCATCAGTGTCGCACACAAGGCCCACAGTCCATTCCTCTCGATTGTTTGTATACCTCCCAGTGCACCTGTCATGGTGCAGAGCCACGCCGGCACGGGCGCTGGGCCCAAGGAAAGATGATTCCAGTTGGGCTTCGATATTTTCGAGAGCGAGGGCGAACAGAGGCTTGCCGTGTGTAGCAGATCTCGTTCTTGGACACAATAGGATATGAGTTGTTTGGAAGTGGGTATGATGACAGAGGGGGAAGCGGATGTAAAAGCCCAAACTCTGGCCACGGGCGCGCAATACTCAACTTGAGACAAAATCCTAGTGGTTGTCCTTTCACCGCCCGTTCTCTCCCCTCCTGCTCGCCCGCGACTCATTCAACGCTTCCGGTTCGCAGCCTGAGTGGACGGTCCCACCGGATGAGCCTGGGGCGGACCATGCATCGAATGCGTATACATGGCGCACGACATCACCAGTGGTGACGTGATGACGTCGTGCGCCATGTGTACTCCTTCGATTCATGGTCGGTCCCAGGCTCATTCGTGGCACTGTCCACTCAGGCTGCGAACCGGGAGCGTTGAATGAGTCGGGATGTGGCGTCGGGCACAAGAAGCAAGCGAATACCTCCTTCCCCTTTCAACTGTCGTCATGCGCAGTCGCCGTGAGGGACATGCTCCCCTGACAGTGGATGCAAGTGTTGACGCAAATTCCAACGGGCAACGGATTTTGTGCAGCAGTTTGATTAACATCAAACCAAAATCGTGGAATAGGCTACACCACTACATTGGACGACATTGCCAGTTTGTGCGGAAAGCCAGCATGTCTGCACTTTCACATCATACGGCGCCCGGCCGTTGTGGGGTCGACTAGATATCATGTTAACTATATACTCACAGGATGTCGTCGTCAAACATTAGACTTGATTATAGTACACACGAATATTGGTGCCGTCGCGACATGAAAATACGCCTCTTCTTTCCTATCGTTGGGAACGTTGACCTCGCCTCATTTGGCTGCCTTGGGTGCATCCACGTCACCATCCGACTGAATGTAATCCAGGTTCGACACCTCTTTGAACTTTTACCCTCGTATGAGACGACACCCGCTACCCCAATCAATTGTTTCGATTCTCCCAACTCCCAGGTAGCGCTGTACTATTGGCGCATTGCGGTCGCCACATCTGCGGTGACCGCGATGCACCCTAGGCAAATCCTCGAGGGCTTCACGTAAGACCATCAGTAAGTGGCCGCCGGGCCCTACGATGTCCTCAAGGTGTGCTTGGTGCCCCACATGCGACTACGTACCACGGTGACGCTCGCACACGTCTAAGCTGCCACCGGGCAACGTGCAGGGCTAGCGACGACCCGCCTTCATCAACTCTTGCCGTTTCCGTCATTCCTCCTTATCGAAATAACGCCTCGTTGGCCTCAGATGGTAGTACAGTAGATGAACAACGAAACGCGAATCGACGACCCTCGCTAAATTGTGAATTGTACGAACGATGAGTGCCGCAAGAGCAGCAAACCACCCCCGCACTTTTAGCGGCTGTGCGGCGCACAGCTGGTGTTCCATGTTATTGTACCCTTGTCCTTCAAATACTCAAGGAAGACGTCGTTCGAGTTCCAATACGAGGTCGAGCTGTAACCTAAGGTTGCGGTTTGGAAGCTACCGACAGGTGAACATACAAACAAAAAACAGAAAACTTCACGTACGCGCGTGCTGCCCCTGGAATACCCGCGGCGAAGATTCCAGAGGCAAAGAACATGTTCCGTAAGCCGTGAGTAAGTATGGTCGCAAGAAATATTGGACAAAGGCAGACAATCCGTGGTGTTCTAGCACGAGTTCACTGTTCGCGTGCTCGTTCAAACACAGGGCCGAGTACGCCGTCGATCCGCTGGTGCATTAGCCCATGGCCACTGAAACAATCTTGCTTGGAATAATGCAATTCTTGTGCTACTTGACCATTGCGTGTACTTCAGGACGTTTTTCGCCGGGCTTGTTATTGGGTTTCAAACGCTGCTTTCCCGTGAGTAAAAACGCTTGGTATCGCTGGGTTGCAGGTCAGGGTTCGGTCGTGGACACAGATGGTGAAGCCGAAACCGGAGCTGACGCGGGAGGAGACCGAGGTGGGTATGCAGACGGTGAAGACTGGACATCCCAGATGGCCTTGAGAGGCCTGGCCCTCGACTGATTTCATGGGCCCGCAACAAAGGCGTTTTGTTTGTTTTCCTGTTTCGTTCCTGGCAACCAGCCACCCGTCAAGTATGCACAATCTGTGACATATCTAGAAAGATTCTATCTTCCGCAATTCGTATTCAAGTGGTGCATTGCAGTTTTCCGGCGTGTGGTACAGATGAATTCGGCGCAGAACAGACGGAATTGTAGTAGTGCGGCCTTTACCCCCCAAACACCCTGTAGGGCGTGGCATCCCCTCACAACAGAGCGTTTATCTGGTGAACACGCAGACAAGCCGAAAGCCCCAGGTGAACGTGCAGGCGTATTATCTTTCTTCGTAGTCAAAGGGGTCTTGCTCTTAGCTTCTGATAGGGCACTGCAACGCTGCCTCCCCACCCCCACCCTGCGGTGCGTACCTCCGCCATCGATTTACCGGTATCCGAGAGCAAGTTCAAAAGGTATTTCTGGCGCCGGGTTAAGCGTGATAAACATGTTTCTCTTTCCATCGAAACGCCTAAATGGCGCCCTGCTACGTGTCACTCTCAATTGTAACTCACGGAGGGCCGGTGTGTTTTCTCACGTGTTGCCCCCCGATTCGGAGAGGACACGGACTCCTTTCTTCCCCTTCCGGCCCGAGTGCTAGAATCAGCCCCATTTTTTCGAATTCGTTTACGCCACCCCAGCCCAACATCGTGGCAGAGCTTTAGTCGGAAACTGATCTTGCGCGTATCTTGTCGTGCGAGAGCGGTATCAAACCCCGTGTGGTGGTAATCCTCCGGGGCGACCCGACTTGTTTTGCACAAGTCATTCCTACCCATAGTTCCGTCGAAGTTTATCAGTCCCCGTCGGGGCGT